AAACCAGTCTGTGATTCTATGATAGATTATACACACATGCTATGGCTGGGCTGAGGTCTGTGTGTGAAACATCCTGACAATTCTACTTCAGGTGTTTAGTAACACTTTACCTGAGGGTTGTTGGTGCATTTCCTCCCCACTGTGATGAATATGGTGTAGATGGAGTGATCTTGGGTAACACCAAAGGAACCACTGGCAATGAATTTGGCTTATTTTATACTGTGCAATTTAGCTTTATGCTTTTCTATTAGAGTAGAGGTGTTACAAACTGTAGGCTCTAAAGATAACCATGCTGACATGTGTTGTTCTTCCTTAAAAACTTCCCCCGTCTTACCTACTCTGCAGCACTCAGTTGAGATGCTTAGGTGTGGGGAAGTGTCATTTAAGAATCCACCGTATTATTGTCCTTCCTGTATGCAGTGGCCCTCTGTTTCTGCTGCAGCTTTGCTGATGCCTTGTGCTGAAACACCCCAGAATGCATTTTTGCAGTTGTGTAAAAAAGACTTTCTGTGAAGATGTGTAGGAAGGATATGTGAGGACCATCAGAACTGATGTGATTTAGTTTGTATCCTTGCTATGAGGCATATGGTTTCTAGGCCCAATTAGGGGAAAACCAAAATGTAGCCAGCATTCTCAGCTGGCAAAACTGATTTGGATAAAACCTCCCCTCCTTCTTGGCAGTACAGGGATGATGGTGAAACCTAATTTAGCATCTAGGCAGAGATGCAGTCATCCTTGTGAAATGTAGCTGCTTTGTTCTGTGATTCTACTGTGCTATCCTGAAAGTACTTGTAGGGCTCCAAGTGTACTGCATCAGACTGCAAGCAGAGCACTCTGGTTTCGGGCCACACCTGTTTAATATTAGATGTGGTTTATTGATCCATGCATTGCATGTGATATTCTACTGCAGAGGCTGTTAGGAAAAATTACTTTAAATTCTGAATTGGCTGATGGGGAAGTCTAGTTTGTCTCATTAGTACTCTGGAAAATGCCTTTTTCTAAAATGATGTGCTTCTATTTATAAAGGTTTGTATAACAAAGGATTTATTTATCTTGATGTACCGATATCTGATGACAGCTGTATAGCAGGTAAGTAAACGTTTAATGGTGTCATACCTACATTTTCTTGGTTTCATTTCAGTTATCCTGTAGTTCTGACTTTGCTGCTGCTTGTTTGTGTGCATGAGTTTGCTTATACAAAACATTTGAACTATGGAACTTTTTCCTGACTGAATGTTTTCAACCCTATTAAAACATTGTTTTATTTCAACCTGAATTCTTAGATTATTTTGTATATTTAGGTAAGATGAGATTCTTGTTAATTCATGCCATGACTCTTTAAAAGTACCCTCCTTATACGTCTGTAGTGAAAAGGAAGAATAGCACAGAGAAATGTAGCTGCCTTACCAAAAGGACAGGGGTCCTTTTGCCCTGTGTTTTATACACAGATGCAACTTTTTTTGTAGATATCAGTTCCATCCTTCACGTCCTTGTCACTTCAGTTGTAGTCATGTGCTGTATCTGGGGGCTATGTAGGAGCTTAAACTAGCACAGCATATGGCTGCCCTTTGAACAACTCATTATGCTGTGCTGGGTCTCGGGCGTTTCTGAATCCTCTATAACCTGCAGAGATGTAAATCATTTGCAACCTGGTCATGCAGAAGTACCTGTCACTTCTGCAGTAGAGATCAGTTAAGTGAAAGTCCTCTAAATACAGGAGACTTACTGCTTATACAATAGCTTTGGGAGTCTCGGCTCTGGAGTGTGTGGATGGGGTGGTTTTTTTGTGTCCCACTCCAATCAGAGCCATGATTTAAACTCCATCCACATTATAAAATCACTTTATGGGCTGGATGACTGGGAATTATCTGTAGTGGATGAGCTGGAGACTGCAAGGCTATGATGCAAGGTAGAGTGGTTTTAGTTTTTATAAGAAAACATACTGACAACCATTACTTTTCCTAAGGAGTGGGAGAATTTTAAATACCATGTATACTATCTTTAGGCTTTTATTCTTTGTGACTGGGAAATCCTCAAAATTACAGGTACCATGAAAACTAAATTAAGTGTGAATTTCTTTTTCCTTTTTTATGCTGTTTCAGTTTAATAAAGTTACCAAATTGTAACTTTGCAAGTAATTCTTCTTTTTAGTGCCACCACTTGAAGGTTTTGTGATGAACAGAGTACAAGGTGATTACTTTGAAACACTCCTGTACAAGATATTTGTTTCAATAGATGAACACACTAACGTGGCAGAGGTAAGTAGAACTCGGAGATAGGAACACTTGAAAGGGCCCAAAGCACACTGCTGAAAATACTTATGGCAGAGATATGGATCAGTTTCAGGGGATTTTACTTAGAGGTGTAGCAAGGCTTAAGATCCAGCCTGTTACTTTCATCTTGAATGTCACTTTTATAGTGCTTCTGGCTTGAAGGAGTACCTCCCAATTCAGTGAAACAGTTCCATCAGCTGCAATGAATTTATACAGGGCTAACTAATGTAGACTATTTTATATGAGTTAGAACTGGAACAGAGTCTGTTTTTCTGGTGTGAAATAAAAATACTAGTTTTTTTCTTCCTTTGGCAGTGAAAATGTGTAGGGTATT